CGTTGAAGCCCTGATTTTTTTTCAGGCTTCTTCTTTCCAATTGCTTAAATTGGAAGATTAACTGCGATGATCATTCTTCACTTTTAATGTTTGATGGTGTTTGGTCGCCAAACATTTCCCGTTTGGACAGGCCTTAAGTTAATTCAACAGTTTGAAACCATTTGATGTATACGGTGATTGATTGCACTCTGCAATTATCAAACTCGTTATAGCTACACACATACAAATATACATACATGTCCTTTGTTCAAGTGTCTGGTCGTTCTAGCGCCAACGGCACTAATTGGGGACCTCGTAGTATTTATGCCAAACAGAAAACAAGTCGAATTAATGGCGACACAAAACAAGAAAATGCATCAATAATTATGAATACCAAATTGACTAATCCTGAGTGTTTTGTCAGCCATGAATAATGAACCTCATTTTCGTATAACAGTAAAGGTACTAAATTTCTAGACACACCTTGTCACAGAATTGACTATAATTCGGATAGGATTATAGAGGGTCAGTTGCACAGACTCAGCATAAAGCTTACCTAAGCACCTCCTCCCCTTCCAGCTACATCCTGCACCTAAACAGACGTCATTAAAACATCCTGTATTATTCCAGCACAGGCTGACAGGCGAACACTATTGTGCGTTATGTCGGAGAGAGTGACTACTTCTACTACTACTCGCAAAATGATGAAATTGCTTTATCAGGCACTGTTGTTCTTAGGATTTTCTAGTAACTATTCTCTTAAAAGAGTAGCGTAGTAGGTAAAAATGCTACCAGAATATCTAAATGGCTTATTTCGTCAAACGTAAAGGCGTTGCCAAGTTGAAAGGTCATGGTGATATCAAGTTCTCCAGTTCCAGTCGGGCCTGCGGGACAGCTCACCACACCAGAGTACAGTAACTGGCTTGCCCTTGGTCATGCCTTAACAACTGTGTTGTGCCAGGGTCTTCGCCCATTTATAAAGCGAGAGACTGAAACCTTCTACAAGATGGTAACATCAAGAATTGCAACTCTTTCAGCTGGACCCTGCACCTGTGTGCATGTTCCAAGGAGAAAACCAAACCAGTACCACTCAAGCTCCTGCCTATGGGCTAATGTTCTACAAACGTATCACCATGGAAACAAACCAAACTGGAAACAAAGTGATCCTAGTAAATGGATGGATCCAATCCTGGGCCCCTGGGAAATAGCTAAACTCTTCCTTCCCGATTTGGGAGGACATGTGGATATTACTAGTGTGGAAGACATGGACATCACTGGAATCTTAAATCTGATGTACTGGTGCAACATATTTGCTGTTTCACCTGCCTTAATCAACGAAGTTCGCGAAACACGAAATACAAAGTGGGTGCATGTGCCTAAGCCAGAGTTGAAAGGTGTTGACAAAAAGATTGCCTTTGACGCAATTGAAAAGTTGCTCCGCGATCCTCAATTAGCCTGCGACCCAGAGGCTCAAAAGGCCCGCCAAGAGATCGTAACTCTCAAATGCGTGTCTGACTTGCACAATGTTGAAGCTCAAGTTCAGGCCCAGTTTAAGGACGCGCTTGTGAACGAAATGTCTGGCATTAAGAGTACTCTGAGCAAGGAATCAAGACGTAACAAAAAACAACGAAGCCAGTTGGAGGGACGTCTTCACAACATACAAAAAACCTTGGAACATTTAAACGACAGGATGAAGGGTGGTGCTACCTTTACAGGCGTCGTCCAAAATGGCGTGTCATACTTGTGGAATTGTGCGATCAAATATTGTGGAATAATAAGAAGAACGCTGGTAACTCCTTGGTTGGTGATCCTCTTATTGTGCGGATGTTTCACCATTCTGGATCCAAGATCATACAAAGATGGTAAGTTGTAGTATCATTATTTTCTGACGTAAGCTTCCAATTGTAACAAGTGACAAGATAATTAGCCGACATTAATAAGGAGTACAAAAGTCGAATGGAGACCGAAAACGTTTGCCACTTTTCAACCATTCTGCATGGCGCGAGTAAAACTAAGACTAGAATCATTGGTCATCATTTCACACAGACGCGTGCTTGAGGCCGATCAACTTTGCCTTGGTTTTGTTCCGAATAATGAAAACATGCATGTAATCTCGTTCCCAGTTATGTTTCATTGGAAAAACTGTAGACACTGTAGGAAGGCTAGGGAAGGCTCCGAGAACTAAAAGTTAGGGACTGAAAAAACAGTCTGAACTTAGCAAACCAAACAACAGAGAACTGATTAAACCATAAAATCGTATCTTGTATAAGGATTACCAGATGTTACTTGAAGGCTAAACTAAACNTGCCACTTTTCAACCATTCTGCATGGCGCGAGTAAAACTAAGACTAGAATCATTGGTCATCATTTCACACCGACGCGTGCTTGAGGCCGATCAACTTTGCCTTGGTTTTGTTCCGAATAATGAAAACATGCATGTAATCTCGTTCCCAGTTATGTTTCATTGGAAAAACTGTAGACACTGTAGGAAGGCTAGGGAAGGCTCCGAGAACTAAAAGTTAGGGACTGAAAAAACAGTCTGAACTTAGCAAACCAAACAACAGAGAACTGATTAAACCATAAAATCGTATCTTGTATAAGGATTACCAGATGTTACTTGAAGGCTAAACTAAACCAAATTCTTTGCAAGGCTGGAACTGCCAAAGGACAGATTTGTTGGCCTAGCTACAGTATATACAAAAATATACAATCGTAGATAAAGCTAGATAAAAGTTCAAAGGGCATCCGTTTTAAAACGGTTTACATTACGAACCCATTTTTTTGTACTTCGTTTCTTCCAGGATGCCCTACAGAGGACGCTAGTGTGCCTTTTGAAACCAAAGATATCAACATGTCCGACTATTTGAATACAGCCCGTGCAGAAAACTTCATGGGTCGTCAGTGGCTGTACCGCGAAGTCGAAAATGCACTTCTTGGAAGCGATGTTTCTGGTGTTCTGATAATAGGAGATCCAGGTGCGGGAAAATCTGCCCTGTCATCCCAACTTATCTGTTCGAGGACGTCAAGTTCTTTGATCCATGCTCGTATTCTAGGCTACCACTTGTGTAAGCACTCGGACAAAAATACTCAAATGACGGGAAAGTTCGTTCGAAACTTGGCAGAGATGATAGCTCGCAGGCTGCCGGAATATGGCTATCTTGTTTCCAATAGCACCTATATTCAACGCTCATTTGTTCTTGATTGCATCCAAAATCACGATCCCGTGGGTTGTTTTGAACAAACAATTTTGACACCTCTGAGGAACTTGAAGAACGAACCGAAAGAAAACTGGTACATCGTGCTAGATGCCTTAGATGAATGCCTTGCACAAGGTGAAACAAGTCACAGCATTGTTTATCTGCTGAACAACAAGATTCCTCGGTTTCCGAAGTGGTTAAAGCTCATAATGACTTCGCGAAATGAATCTGACGCTTCTCCGCATTCAAGCAAAATAAAAGAATTAATTATCGATCCAGAAGACTCTAGGAATCTTGAGGATATTGAGCTGTTTTTGATCTCGAGATTTTATCAAGCTAGTCCTTTGCTCAACCATGTAAAATTGTGGTTTGGAGACGACAGCGTGAAAAGTACTTCAAAGTTAGTCTCTACTTTGCTCAGTAAAAGTCAAGGAAACTTTCTTTTTGTTAAAGAAGTGCTTCGTCACTGGGAACTCTCAAGACACGAGTTAAGTGATGCGTATGCATTGCCAAGAACATTAGGAGACCTCTACCATAGTTATTTTGCAAGGCTTTACCCTGATACTAGAAGAGGAGGCTTTAACCCTGTTAGACGTGTGTTGGAACTCCTGGTTGCCACGTTTGAACCATTGACACGAAAAGAGCTCTTTGATATTCTTAGAATGAACGAAAGAAACCTAGAGGAGGAGTATGAATTTCAAAGTAGACTAAAGGAACTGGGTCATTTTCTGAGATACGGAGAAAACAATACAGTAACACTGTATCATTTGTCGTTAACTGAGTGGCTTGTAAGTGAGAGCAACAGGAAATTTCGCGTCAGTAAAAAGATGGGACACGAAAAATTATGTGATTACTACTTTAGTCTCATTCGAGATGGAGATAAATCTACATTGTCCAAGTACATTCTCACTTTAGCACAACACATTGCATTTGGGGGATGGAGAGCAGCCTACGTTGAAGAATTCCTCCATTTTCCCTCACAGACAGTCAATTCCTCGGATCCGCAAAACAGTAGGACTCTGTTGCATCTTGCTGCAACAATTAACAGTTCAGATGTACTGGAACTGGTATTGCGGCATTTCAGTGATGTCGACTGTGTTGATAACCGTGGAATGACGCCCACATTTCTGGCGGCAGAACATGGACTTGTGGACAACTTGGCATTTTTGGTGAGAAAAGGAGCCAAAGTTAATCGAAAAACAAACTCAATCATTGCCATGTTCAAAGAGGATGTAAAAGCTGCCTTCCAGCAAGCAAAATATGGTTCCAGTGAATTTCGTTTTCCCGACATACGTGTACACGCGCCCGACTTTCAGTCCAAATCCAGATTTTTTGGTGCCACTCCACTTCACGCCGCTGCTCAAGGAGGGCACGTCAACGTTGTTCGTTATCTCCTTGACAACAACGCTTTCATTTCGACATTTAATTGTGCTCATCAGACTCCAATCCAGTTAGCAGCTGAAAATGGACATGTAGAGGTTGTTAAAATTCTATACGAAGCAGGTGCAGTGGCAGATCAAACGGCTCTTCATCATGCGGCAGCAAATAATAGACTGGAAGTAGTGCAATTTCTCTTAGAGAACGGCGTCAAAGATACGTGCTTGAGATGCGACGGCTCGTTTTATTGGCTGAGGACAAAACATCGCCTTCAAAGTAATTCGCCTCTTCCTTTTCCGGTAAAAGAAAATTGTATTCCCCAAGAAATGCTTAATCATAGCATTTTTGAGATGTGCATTGACTGGGAAAGAAACTGGGACGAGCCAGAAGGCGTTAGTTATGGAGAATTGTTTGATGACAAACATTTAATTTTATGCCATACTGCACTTCATGCAGCTGTTGCGTCAGGACACAAAGATGTTGTTCATCAACTCATTTCTCAACAAATAAACGCGCTCAACTGTTATGATTATTCGGGAAGAACACCACTGCATGAAGCCGTTCGTAAAAATGATACACAACTAGTTGACATTTTGCTCCATAAACAACCACACAAGATAAATTACAAGTGCTATCACTGGCAAAATGTGAACACTCAAATGGCTTCAGGAACATTTGTATCATCCGGTAAACTTAATGTTGAGGAATCAATTTATTATCACAAAGATATCTGCCATTGTGGATACACTCCTCTTCATCTCGCAGCACGGTATGGCCATAAAAACCTCGGGATATCCCTCATCTTCCGACATGGGGCACACGTTCATGCACAGGATTGTACTGGAGCAACACCTTTCCACGTAGCAGCTTGTCACAATCAGCGAGGCTTTGTGTCCATATTTTCTCATTCGAAAGTTGGGGGTGACATTAACGGCAAAGCTCTGAACGGATCTACTCCTCTTCACAGCGCCGCAGCGTGTGGCGCTGCCGAAGTCATTGGTGATCTGCTTTACTTTAAAGCAGACCTCAGTGCTGTTGATGATGATGGCCTGACGCCACTACACTACTCGATTCTTAACATTAAATCAAGTCGGTTTGTTCAAAGAGTGTTAGTGAATGACAGTTGTTCAAATGGGTCTCTTAAACTGGTTCAGATAGACCGACGGGGTCATTTGACTACATTTTTTAAAGAAGGCAATCAAGTAAAAAACACAGACCGTTTTCCTTGGTTAGACACATTTCTCAATTTGGTTCTTCGGGGTTCCGACGTCGATGCTGTTGATATAAGAGGAAGAACACCACTGCACGTTGCCGCTTACAATGGTTTATCTGATGCTGTCAACATTCTCCTACAGCGAAAGGCGGCACTCAATATACGAGACAAACAAGGCAAAACACCACTTGATATGGCGGTTGACAATGCAACAGTTGTACCCAAACTTTTACCGTTCTTTTTAGCAACAGAATTTCACAATATGCGACAGTCTTTATGTGATCACGAAATGGTTGTTTACCTTCTTTTGTCTTATGGCGCCTCATTCAAGAAATGTAAGCGTTCAGGAGGTAGCTTGCTTCATAGGGCAATCATAAACCAACAACCTTACAGCGCACAACTGCTGCTGCTGAAGGGAGCCAGTTTAACATGTAAAGACAGCTTTGGTCGAACACCCCTTGTAAGTTACCTGCACAATGGCGGAGACTGGATAGATGTGGTCCTCAAGCATTTTAATGTGCCAGTTGTTATAAAATGTGGAAAGCCTTTCAATGTTTCAGTTTTTCATCTCCTGTGTTACCGGCCACCTACTGTATCAGATGAACATTTCTTCGAGTATAGACAATGTGATAAACGTGGAGAATGTGATCCTTCAGAAAGTAAATTGCAGAAGGGTCCTCTGGCTAAAGCCATTGAAAGGCACCCATTAAAGCACGGTATCATAAATTCCTGTTTGGATTCCGAGGGATTGACACCTTTACACAGAGCTGCACAAGGGGCAAATCTAGTAGCTATTCGCTACCTCCTTGCAAATGGTGCAAATGACTCGATTTTAAGTCCACAAGGACTTGATGCCTTATCACTAGCTATTCTTCACGCTGGTAACAATTTCTGGGAACTATCGGTATTTAACAACTGGGATGAACAAGTACTTGGAATGACGAGGGCCTCTGACGCTGCAATTGAACTTCTTCGCCATGCAACGAAGACTCGTGGATACCGAGTCAGATGTGGCTCCAGTAAACCAGAACTGACATTGTATCATTTAGCAGCCTCGCGTGGTCTGGTGAAGTTCATAGAGGAATTATTCAATGAGAGGAAGCTTCATCAGTTAGATGTGGACTGCCCTAATGCGGATGGAATAACACCGATGTACCTGGCAAAGTTTTTCGGAATTCAAGTGGAAAGTGGCATCTACAATCCCTGGGAACACGTCATCAGCATCATTGAAAGTTATGGGGGAAAGATGCGATACCCGAACAAGGATGCTGAATATAGTTTAATCTATAACCGCATTCATGGCTACATTCCCGCAAATGTTACGCTAGATATTAGGCCAGATATTCGTCATTTCGTTTCATCTCTTTTGTTGTTGTATGAAAAAAGAAACAACGATTCATTTTATTGTGGTTTACGTGGACTTCTTAAGAGCATTGCCGAAGATCCTTTATCAGTGGCATCAATTTGGTATGAGATAGCGGCAAGCCAGATGGTCGAAGGGCTTGCAACTAGTCATCTGGTCAAACAGTGTTTAAGGAAGCAAACGGAATTTAATCGACATTTGACAAAATTAAGACTACATCAACTAGCCCACCAGGATTCCATTTTAAAGATCAGGAAGAAGGCAAAACTAAATTTGATCCACAAAGAACTGCACAACTTAATGCGGACGCGACACAAGGAACTCTTTGAGGTCTTTGCCTGTGCTAAATCGTTGATGTACAGACTTCAACCACTTTTTGACGGAAAAAAGTTGAAGATTTTTATCCGGCAGTATGAAGAAACTCCTCCTTTGTCATTTTACCTAAATCGGATTTGCAAGGCCTTCGAGCATGCCTTTGATATATTACACCCTGTTCGAAAAGGACGACTTTCGCGTTTTGAACACCTTTTTTTATACCCAAAATTTTTAAACGAGCGAATCAACTTCGTCACAGGAAGTTCTACTATTATTGGTCTCAGAATTAAGTGGCCCTTGGACTTTTTTGTCAAGCTTTTCTTTGGTCACTTTCGGCGATATGATTACGTGAACACTCTCCAGGTAGGAATAGAGCAAGATAATTCAGGCGTCCCACTCTACACGGACAAAGAAAGACGGGTTCTTCAGACTCTTCAGTAGCAAAAGACATTCTTTTCACGTCAGGCCAAAAAGGACCGAGAAAAAAAATGCTGTAACGTTAGTCACCACTTCATCACGTCAGTTGTTTCGTGATGAATTACAACCGAGTCCCAAAGAAGGACAAGAAGACCAGATAGTTGACAACAGATATATGAAAGAAATGTTGTTGCTCTAGTTTTAATGCCGATTCCATATTGACGTACTCGATATTATCTTAATTGAAATCTGTGATGGTTAGTGCATCAGACGTACGCTCAAGCAGTTTAAGGCCCGGGTCAGGAATGTGAAAGGTTGGGTAGCTATATCTCTGGTTATATTTGTTTAACTAAACTGAAATTCTCCCTGACTCGTCAGAAGCACCAAATCTACTTTAAAATGTCAAGGACGTTAAAACCTTAGTGTGTGTTAAATTTGGTTTCATTGTCACATACGTCTTTAGAGGGATAGCTAAGAAATTTTATTTACCAGTACAAGTATTTGACCCGGGCCTTAAACTGCTTAAAAGACATTTATGTTTTTGATTACCTCCACAAGGAGCCACTGACCTGAAGGAGCTTAGAGATGTTCACATAGATGTCTATTTTTTAATAATACTTATAGGGGGTCTAATTTACCCAAACGACGAGGACGATGGCAACGGAAACATCAACATACAAACGTTAGAATGCGTAGAATGAATGAATGAATGAATGAATGAATGAATGAATGAATGAATGAGTGAGTGAGTGAGTGAGTGAATGAATGAATGAATGAATGAATGAATGAATGAATGAATGCATGCATGCATGCATGCATGCATGCCTGCTTTAACGTTTGTCTGTAAAACAATGGCTATCAAGCGTTTTTCGGCCGAAAAGATAAACCCCAACGATAAACTATCAATATTGCTATTTTGTATTTACATATCGAGCTCAGGATTGTGATACCGATAGACACACTGACTGGAAGATCTCAGAGATAAGTGAAGTTCTTAAGTAGCTATCAATCATAATTTTTAAGAAGATTACGTCATTTTTTAATTTATAAGACATGTTTCGATGTTACTAACATCATCGTCAGTTACTGAATATTTGAAAAACCGTTAGGACGATATAACAACTAGGCGAAACATGCATAGTTGTTATATAGTCCTAACAGTTTTTCAAATATTCTGTAACTGACGATGATGTTAGTAACATCGAAACATGTCTTACAAATTAAAAATGTAATCTTCTTAAAAGTTAAGATTTGCTTTCTGCTGTCTCGACCTTTTGGTTCCAGCTATCAATCACTTTTGCATCCGAGTTTGCCCTTAGCGTTATCGTTGTGCCAAGGTTAACTCCCTAATGCTGAACCTACTTGAGTCCCGGGGCCCGGTTGTTCAAAGCACTATTCAACTATCAAAGGAATAGCTTAAGTTTTTCACAAGTTTAGCTTTGTGACCTCAGTGAAGATCTCTGTTATTATGTTTTGTCCTTCAGGTTGATCTCAAACTCTATAAAACATTGGGACTCACAAACTCCCCGGTTAACTTTTTACCCGAGATAAGCGTTAAGCAGCTTTCGAAAAACCGGGCACTGATTGTACTTACAGCACACTGTAAACAGTATCTCTTTTGCTCTAAAAAGAAGAACGGAAACACTAGCTAAACAATGGGCGAACGGCGTCGCCACTCGCACCCTGGAATATCGTGCTACGCTCAGTGTTTGCGTTCTTCCTGAGTATTTAGAGCAACAGAGAGACTACTCGCAGTCTATACTTACAGTACCATCCCTTGACATGACCTCACATGAACGGCACTGAATTGCTCTCTGTCAAATTGACTGTTTCGCGAAATCTTTTTGTTTTTCATCTGTTACACGGATCTTCGTTCGTTTTCAGTATCTAGTGAGTAACCACCTGATAGAAATCATTATCAATTTACTAGTTGGCTCATCACGCCCAGTATAAACAAATTTTGAAAGTTAGAACTCCATCTTGCTCAACTACCAAACGGAATTTGCAAAAAATTGCACGTTAATCAGAACAACTTTGACACAAGGAAATGAGTTAATCGATTATTCCACTTAAACGGGAACGGACTGGAATATAAGTGAGAGTGCAAGTGCAGAGCAATGTAGTACAGAATGCTTTAGTTAACAGACTGATGGACATCTAATCGGAAAAGGGGGGAGGGGAATTCATAAGCAGAATTTTACGGTAGTGTACCTGCTAATTCCTAAACGAAAAACGAGCACAAAATAAGGATATGAACAAGACGTGTATCAAGATAACCTCTGATCTCAATCAAATGTAGCTAAAATACATTGAGGACTTTACATTATGTGTGTGTTCATCATTTCTATTTAAGTGTTCACACCCCTTTTCCGTTCTCAATGCTACAACTAGCAAAATGCAGTTATGTACCACTTCTAAGGTGTTTTGCCAACATTGCGCAGGGGTGGGGAGGGGAAGAGCTGTAAATACGGAGTATTTCTATAGTCTAAGTCTAGATATATAGATACGCGGCCACAGACTAGAGTGTCCTTAGGTAAAGTCTGCGTACGAGCCAAGTGGCCCATCAGGCCAGAGCGTATCCCGGTTTCTGTAGCATGAAGCTACTAGTAGTATTTCTACTCACCCCCTGGATGAGATGCTAGTCCATCGCACACCCAGCATTAATTTCTCAGGTACCCATTTACACATCTGGGTGGAGAGAAGTACTGTGAGAGAAGAGTGTCTTGCCCAAGAAAACAACACGATGTCCCCAGCTAGGGCTCGAGCTCGGACCGGTGGATTCGGAGACGAGCGCACTAACCACAAGGCCAAGGCGCCTTCCACTAGAGTTTTTTTTAACACTGTTGAAAATTGTTTCCATTTTTTTCAAACTAAGCTGTTTGTTTTGCGTCAACGGGTGCAATTTTTCGTACACTTACTTAAACCGAATTTAATATTTCTGGCCGTTTTCTGAGCCCCGCGTTTATGACAGCTGGTCTCCCAAAATGACTGCCGCGAAATCGGAACTGGCACAACGTCGCTTTTCTTAGTGCCGACAAAAAGGATCCCCGCCCCTGGAGACGAGAACAAAAAGGTTTGTTGTACAAAAGCGATTTGCAATTGTTGTGGCAATGAGCCATAGCATTGAATGCCCTTTTGGCAAATCGCAAGTGTACAGTAATGAATTGTACCTGGTGCGCGGTACTGCACAAAACCAACGTACTTTTGTTCTTCTGGGTCTATTGGTATCTAGAAAAGTTACGAAGTTACGCTCAAGTGGCCATTACCTCACTCTCCGGTGTGTCATCCTCGTTTAATTAATAAAGGGTGCGTTCCTTTGGGGTGATCTAGATCAGGATCAGTGATCCAAGATCTGCCTGGATCATGGTGCATCAAAGAAACCGGTGAATTCGCGACCAGAGTGGATTCATCGGTTCCTTTGATGTAGCATGATCTGAATGATCTTGAATCAGTGATCCTGATTCAGATCACCCAAAGGAACGCACATATTAAAAAGCTCTACTACTACCTGACGCAAATTCGTGTGGGTAATCAAATGGTGACCAGTAAAATTAGGAAATAATTTCACGCGCGTTTTGTCAAAATACAAGTGAAATTATCTTCCAATCTCACAATTGTGCGTTTTTGACCTGTTTATTGTATCGAGAAATTTCGCGCCAAACGTTGCCATGGCAATTTTGTAATTGTAAATTAATGCTGAAAGTTCGCGCCAAAATTAAGGTGTAATCTGTCACTAGCGACACCACACCTGTTATTTAAGCGCACATCCCGAACAGCTACGTAGAGAACACAGGAAAGTACCCCTGGCTAAAAATTTGGGTTGCAAGGATAAAGGGCCTAGAATATTAGCTGCGGTGTTTTCCTTGTTCAAAGATGATTCCGGAAGAAAACTGAGATGGATTGCAAGATAAAGAGAGAGAAAGTTACCATTCCCGTCAATTGAAAAATAAGTTTTAAAAACTTTTTGGATTTGGATTGCTACTGTCAACCGGCTCTCCAGTCAAGTCCCCAATGAAAAAGCGGTTTTAAAAATGCTTTCAATTTTTATACGTGTCTGAACTCGAACACTGGTTGCTCGGAATGATAGGCATGATCAAAAAAACGAAAAATTTGAGTACTGACGAGCGAAATATTGAGGTAAAGCAAACCCTGGAAAAAAGGATCGAACGAGAACGATCAGTTTCGCTGCAGGGAACACGCTGACAATATGATACCTCTGCTGCACTTCATATTGAGAAGTCGAGTTAGTAGTAGCAGTAATAGTAGCAGTAGTAGCAGTAGTAGCAGTAGTAGCAGTAGTAGTAGCAGTAGCAGTAGTAGCAGTAGTAGCA